ACTCTATGCGGTTTACAAGGCTTTAACCCATTTGGAGGCACTACCTCCTTGGGAGGTTCTTCATCCTCAGGACTGATCATCAGACCCTGAGATGGATGAGAACTCAATCGGTACTCTCTGATGCTCTCAAGCGTTGGATTGAAATCATTGAGCAGTATGACTTCGAGCCCCAGTACATAAAGGGCGAGTACAACAAGGTTGTTGACGCCTTGTCGCGTAGACCTGATTTCTCAGGTGCGCTGATTACTGAGTTCAATCTTGCGGACAATGTTACTCAATCTTTGGTGGAACCCTATCGCGAGGACCCGTTTATGGCCGAGATCGTACGCAGACTCGAGGCGAAGGACAAAGGGACTTCTGCCGAGTTTCAGTTGGTCAACGGCCTGCTGTTCCTTGAGAAGGCAGGGAATAAACGTTTGTGTGTGCCTAATAGGGAGTCTTTGCGTAGTTGATTTTTAGGCGAATGTCACGATGCCACAAGACATTTTGGGTTCAAAAAGACTGCGGCTAATCTGCTGCAGCGGTTCTGGTGGCCCACATTGATGAGAGATGCTAAGGTGTACGTGGAGACTTGTCAAGTCTGTTAGAGGGACAAGCCACGTACTCGGGGTCCTCTTGGGCTCCTAAAGCCCATTCCGATTCCGGAAAGGCCTGGTGAGAGCTTGTCGATGGACTTCATGGATATGCTGGTCACCAGCAAGAGTGGAATGCGCTACATCTACGTCATTGTGGATAGGTTTAGTAAGTTTGCTAGATTAGTTGCAATGTCGGCAACAGCTAAAACAGAGTATGTGATTAAGATGTTCGAAGAGAATTGGGTTAGAGACTTTGGATTACCTAAGTCCATAGTTAGTGACAGGGATGTCCGATTCACAAGTGAGTTGTGGAAAGCAACAGCTGCAGAGCAAGGCACGCGACTGCAGATGACATCAGGCAATCATCCTGAGGCAAACGGGCAGCCTGAACAAATGAACCGCGCTGTACAACACCTGCTAAGGCATTACATCAAGCCAAATCAGGTGGATTGGGATGAGAAAGTTGCTCTCATCGCAAGTTTGTACAATAATGTTGTACACAACGCAACCGGAGTCTGTCCTAACAGCTTGCTACTTACATTCAAACCCCGACTGCCGCTAGATTTTCTACCAACTGACAATCAGCCGAGTTTGCTTATCAATATGAGCAGCTGATGCAACAGGCAGTTGAACAGATGCACAAGGCACAGGCGCCGATGATGGAGTTTGAGAACAAACATCGCCGCCCATCCACGTTTCAGGTGGGAGAGAGAGTCTGGGTGAAGTCCTTAGAACTGGGGCAGGGGCACTGAATCTCCCGCAAGCTCATGCCACAGTACTTTGGACCATGGGAGGTATTGGATGTCGTGGGGAATGAACCGGATGGCCCGTCTTATGTCATTCGCATCCCTGGTCACTTACGCACTTACCCTGTCTTTCACCCCTCCAAGCTTGCACCTTTCAAGGAAACCGGTCAATTTCCTTCTTGACGCTCAATGCTGCCCCCAACCATGGATGGAGAGGTGGACGTAGACGACATCATGGATCACAGGGAGCTGCCCATTCCAAGAACAACAGGCAAGGGACGTCCTCCGAAACCGAAACTGAAGTACCGAGTTCGGTTCCGACATCATCTGGATCCAAAGGAGGACCGCTGGTTCACTAGGGAGGAACTCATCCAGACCGCTCCTCAGATCGTAGCTTAATATGAGAAATCTCTGCAGAAGGGAAAGTGCCAGATCATCGAAGACTGAACTTCTCAGAGGACTAGCGAAGTTATGGAGGAGGGAACGCGAGGCTTATGCCCCTATGAGCCCCTTTTTGGCCCTGCCAAGTATCACGTCGGCCGCCCTAAGTGAAGGCAGGCACGACGAGGGCCTGAGGGCCCTATTTCGGTCACCACGCAACTCAAAGAAATTCAGGCAGTTGCGGAGCGCCAGTTTGTTGAGAGAACCCAGGCCCTGGGCCGCCTGTGTGAATGTATGGAAAGCAAGGCCTGGGCTGGATACGGGTACTGGCCAAACACAGGCCAAACACAGGCCAAAGCAGTTGGATACATGCAACCACCTCAGGACCAACGCCTGTTCTTGTGCTGGGCCTCAGGTTACGGGGCCCTATTTGAAGCTTCCTGGGACTGAACGTAGGCAGGCCACTTCGATATAGCAAAGGGCCTGCCTCCACATTCGTGATTCGGGTGTTGGCTGCATGTTGCGCAAGCGTTGCTGCGCTGAAGCTCACTGGCACTCACGCGCTCACGGGAGAGCAGGAAGGAGCAAGCATCCATAGCCGAGCTGCGCTGCTGTAAGCTGGGTGTGGTGCAAGGTGGTCCTTGGGTGCAAGTGGCATCTGTGTGTTGGGGAACAAGGTTGTCAGTGAGGCGAGAAACATACCTGATGCTGGAAGCGTGCGACAATGGTCGCTATATGCTCGTACTTCGGGAAAGTTGTTGACGTCATCTTTGGCATTGTAGTCTTAGGGTAGATAGGATCTGCCATCTGTAGTCTGGGCGCCGAGCGCCAGATAGGATATCAACATTGGTTCTTCATTGATGATGATGATGAGACTTTACCAGCATTGTCAATTATGAGCTCTTGGTGTGTTCTTATTTGGTGAAACTCGTGATGCAATTCTGTTGTTGGTTCGAGGTCACGACTATCTGGTCTTGTGTATATGATGTTGTTTGCGTGCTGAAGTTCACTATTGCTCATCTTCCTTGCACTAATTTCAAAAAAGAAATATCAAAAAAGAATTTAATTAATTCCAACGTATTTCAAAACTTTTGAAAAAGAATGAATTGAAAGTAGTTTCGAATTAAGAAATGTTTAAAAATAATTTAATTAATTCTACTGTGTTTCGAATTACGAAAAAGAAAGGAGTTTTGAGACAGTATTCACGTGTTAGCTGTTGCGAATGCAGATCCTAGGGCTCGATCCCTAGTCCTTACCTTACCCGTGTGCAGTACTTGAGTCGACCCCGAGTGTTGAACCCGTGACCTGTGTATGTGCAACACTGGGTAGGCTGTCGTAGGTCCGTAGGTTGCAGGGGTTGCATCTGTAGTTTTGTTGAGTAGAGGTCTTAGTGAGTTCTAGAAGTCGTAGCTGTAGCCCTTCTGAAAGGTCAAACTTGTAGCTGCTATAGTCCTGAAAGGTCAAGGTCGTAGCTGCTACAATGTCGAAGGGCCAAGTCCACAGACTTCGAGAAGGTCCGGAAGTGGCCCTTCCAACGTTGCTCACAACAGACTAGAGGCAAGTGGGCAAGTGGTGAAGTCCACCCCTGCAGAGTCAGCGGTACCCAGTCCCAGTCTCACTGAGTCCAGTCAGCAAGTAACATGAGGGATTGTGTGCACCATGGGCCCGGTGGAAAGAGGCAGACCAGCGACTTCCAGAAGTATAAATCAAGAGGTAGCGCCCAACCATTCATTCATTTGATGCGTAAGCCATGCAGAAGCGTTGTCTGGGGGACTTGTGCGAGGTTGTCTGCAGTGCGCCCGAGGACAAGGGGGCTGAAGGAGATAGTTAGCCATAGCTGTAGACGGAGAGCGGCCATAGCCGCCATAGCTGATAGGCGAGTGTGTGTGTACGAAAGTGTGCGTATGCGTGTGGGATATCCAGGGTGATCCAAAGTTGAGTGAGTGCGAACAGTGGTGCTGAACAGAGAGATGAGAGTTGGGGTGTACAGGCGCTGATGCGCCATAGCCCGTTGAAACGAGCTTGTATCTAAACTGTGTTTTCGCTTTCCATATCTCTAAGCTTTGAGTGGGCGTTGTGTGCGAGTGTGACTCACCATTTGTTTGCATGAGTGCGAAGTGTGAAAGAAAGCGAGTTTGATTGCATTGGTATCAGAGCTGGTACGCGGCATCTCACGCGCCGTTGTTGTCCGCGGTATGCCGAAGTTGGGCGCCATAGCTGAAGTCGCGATCATCGAAGAAGAAGTTTGCCATAGCTGCGATAGGGGAGGAAGCTGCTGCGTACGTGCAAGAAGACAACGACGAAGGGAGAGAGAGAGAGAGAGAGAGAGAGAGAGAGAGAGAGAGAGAGAGAGGGAGGGAGCGATACAAGATTGATTGTGCGGTCCAAGAAGGAAGAAAGCGGCCATAGCCGCGGAGCTCGGACATAGAGGAAGGAGGCAAGAAGAGGAATGAGAGAGGAGGAGGGAGAGGCGAAAGAGAGGAGAGAAGCCAAGTTGAGGAAGAGGAAGGAGGGACGAAGAAGAAGAGGGAAGACATAGCCAGGGTGAAGAAAGAGCAAGGCGAGGTAGGAGAAAGAAAGGAGGAAAAAGAAAAAGGGTGGTATGGAAGAAGAAGGTGGCAGCCATAGCCGAGTTGGAGGTTGACCAAGGTGTTGACCACGAGGTTGATCGAAGTTGATTTGAGCATTGACTCGGGCGTTGACCAAGGTTGATCGGAGCATTGACTGGGGGGTTTGACCAGCGTTGACCAAGCGTTGACCAAGGTTGTTGATTGCGACTTTGACCAAGCTGGAGTTGGTATATTCTCGCTGAGCCCTTAGCCTATCCCCTCGCCCTATGGATGTGTGCTCACCCTATGGTACTTTCTGAGTCTGTCTGTCTCTTCTCTTTGCATTGAGTTTCTTTTGTCCAGGTGGTAGGAACTCCGTGTATGAAGGATAGGGCCTTGTTGACCAAACGCACACGGGCTGAGTAGGGCTAAAGGCTGTGTTTGACAACTCGACTGTCCCGGAGGATACGAACCCTCCCACGGACCGGTATTGACCGGCGGGCTGCTCGGTGTGGCACGGTAGGCCCAAAATCCAGGTTGTGGGCTGCACAACGGGCTGTCTAAGTCTTGAGAGGACTTGCTGATCGCGTCGTCTTGTTTGCGATGTTAAATAATTCCTGAGGAGTTACGGGGGATCTCCTTAAATGCCACCTGATCAACAACCAGTCCTGTAGTGACAGCCATAGTTTAGGTCCAGGCTAGAGACCCTAGTTGTGGTCTTTTACATTGAGTCTAGGTTTAGTCAGTCAGGTGTCGAAGTCTAAGTGGTGAGGTTTGGAACCGTTGTTCGGTTGTGCACTTATCACCATGGTTGACACTCGCAGTGGGAAGAGCACCATGCCGTATAGTAAGGCTCGAGAGGAGCAGGCCGCCGCCATCCTGAGAGAGAGAAACGAGACGAAGGAGCTCCTTAGACAAGCGAAGTTAAAGATGATAGCAGAAGAGCAGGCGGCGAAGAAGAAAAAGCTAGAGGAGGAGATGCAAAGATTGCAGCAAGAGGAGGAAGAAAGAATGAGAGCTGCAAAGGAGGAAGAGGTTGAAGAGGAGGAAGAGCAGCCAGAAGAAGAGCCCCTCAGAAGACGACTAGGGGAAGGAGAAGGAAGCAGTGGCACGAAAGAAGATGACCCGTGGGTGGAAAGGATGATATCTGAATGGGTGGCTAATTTATTGTTGGGTGAAGACGAGGCGGCGATGTTATATATCCCTCAGGAGGAGAAGGAAGCAGCAGTCAAGGAGATTGAGGCAACGAGTGATCCCCTCGAACGCCAGACCATAGAGAATGAGAAGAGGTTGGACTGGAAGTTACTTCTGGCAAGGGAGAAGAAGAGGAGGAAGGAGGAAGCCAACACGATGGCCAGAGAGGTGGAGAGTTTACAAATGTGTAGACAGGAAGTAGAGGCCGAACCTGATGTTCAGGTGAAGTTAGACAAGATCCTTGACATTGAGCTCCTAGGTAGGGCTATGGACTGAGCATCATCAGTCTGTTAGGGGCCAAGAATTGGCCCTCCACTCCATCCGGTCTGGTTTCAGGGACTTCGCGCGCTATGTAATGACTCATGTCGGGAGCAAAGTAATAAAGGGACAACGCAAAGAAATGTTTCGCAGGCGCCATTGAAGGCGCCAAAGTAGTGGCCGCTACAGAGAGTGAAGGGCGTCCCCGCAAAGAGCCTGTCAAGCTCGAGTTTCCTAACTCTTATGACGGGAAAAAGAACGCAAACTTTGATAACTGGGAGACCAGTATCAACACATATGTGTACTTGCAACATATAGCGCCAAAGGAACAAGTCCTCGTGGCCTTCCATGCGTTGAAAGACGAAGCGGCTAGTTTTGCTAGGTCCCTCGCGCGAGCAGCCAATTGTGAACACAATATGGTTGCATACTCCAAACTCACCCCTCTTCACACATTTCTCAAACTCCTGAGAGAGAGTTTCGCTGACGTCACGCGAGGCGTCAGGGCCTTTGATAAACTGCAGACAATCCACTCACGACAGTGGAAGAGTGCGAGAGTACTCAAAGCAGTTATGGACGATTGGGTAACCATCCCAGACCACGGGGTCACGGAGACCCAATTAGTTAACTTGTTTTATCGTGCCATGCCAGAGCCCTTACGAGGCCATTTCTTTGAGAAGACCCAACAGGCCACCACCACGTATGACGCTTTGAGTAGAGAGGTGGTCCTGTTCGAGGCAAAATCCATGCCAGTTTCCAGTTTCCAGCATAAAAATTTTGACAAGGGGAAGAAGTGGAAGGGTCGTACCATCTCGGGTCAGGTCAGGGCCAAGGATCATCTGATCCTTACGTTAGATGAGGGTGGTACCGATGAAGTCCCCTACAGTCAGATAGATTGGGAGCTAGAAGAGGAAGACATTAGTATAGGCCAAGGGAGGACCTATGCTGCTGTCGCGGCTGGAGGGAGGCCGCAAGGAAGAGGAGGAGGCCAGGGCCAAGGGGGCCGGGCCATGGGTGGTCGAGGTCCGGACACACAGGAGGTTGGCGGCCAAAGGAACCGCCAAGTGGGAGGTAGGGGTCAAGGTCCCCCGTCGAATCGCTCAGGGCCCAGTCGATCGCCACATCGTAAAGGTGGAGGCTCACCTCAACGGAAAGGAGGTTGGCACCCAGGTTGGCCACAGGGCCGGCCTTGGGAAGATTTGGGCTTGGACCAGAGGGTATGGCAGCAGTGGATGGAGCAGGGGCAGTGCATTTACTGCGGTGACCCTGCCCATATCAATAAATATTGTCAAAGTATAGGGAAGCCCGATTCGCTGCCCAGGGGTCAAAAGGCAGCTGACGGTAGGGGTTGCAACTGCCCTTACCAATAGGCCATGTGGGGAAGTGTGCGCCAACCACCAGGAAACTCCCACACCGCATGAGCCTATGGCAGAGGTTGCAAGCCAGTGCCTAGGATGTCGGTCTGAGCCAAGATGAAGAAAGAGAGCAAAGGATAACTGGTGTTAGTAGATTTAGAAGTTTTTAGAAGCAGAGTAAGGGAAGTGTGTGTATGCGTGTGGGATATCCAAGGTGATCCAAAGTTGAGTGAGTGCGAACAGTGGTGCTGAACAGAGAGACGAGAGTTGGGGTGTACAGGCGCTGTTGCGCCATAGCCTGTTGAAGCGAGCTTGTATATGAAATGTGTTTTCAACTTCCATATCTCTGAGCTTTGAGTGGGCGTTGTGCGCCTATGTGACTCACCATCTGTTTGCATGAGTGCGAAGTGTGAAAGAAAGCGAGTCTGATTGCAGTTTAGTTGATTCTAAAACATTTCCCGATTAAAAAAGAAAAAAACAGAAAAAGAATTAATTAGGAATGCTTACGAATTACGAAAAAGAAATGTTGAAAAATATTTTAATTAATTTTGAATTATTTTGAATTACAAGAAATTCCAAAAAAATGAGTAATTAAAATTGTTTTCGAATAACGAAAAGGAAACGTTGATTTTTTTTTAAATTAATTTTGAAATATTTTTGAATTACAAAAATTTTAAAAAAGAATTAATTAAAATTATTTCGAATTTGTTGGAAGAAATGCCGAGAAAGAATAACGAATTTTACATATTTGCGAAAGTTTTGAAAAAGAAGATATTTTGGAAAAGAAATGTTGGAAAATATAATTTATTAAATATTTGCAAATTTACCTAAATTTCAAATGAATAATGAAAATGAATTATAAATAAATAAAGGGATGATTGATTGGGTGGTTGCGTGGTGGGTAGGGTAAAGCAAAGATTTGTACGGGGAGATTGGTGATGATGATGGGGAAGGGAACGTGGGGGGAGAGTAGTGCACGAGGGGGGGAAGCGGACTCGTGGGATCGCGCTCGGGACGCGCATGGGAAGGAGGAAGTCGGTGGAAGGAGATCCTGGTAAGGGTTGGGGGTAGGGGCGCGCAGTTGGGAAGGGAGGTGGGGGGGTCGCGATCG